AATCAAAGTGTGAAACAGTTACCCAAAATCAAAAGACCAATGGAGAAATGAGAACCATGTATTATAGCTAAACCTAGTAGAATATCTTATAAACTTGTTCCAAAGATATCCAATAAGGCATTCCAGTTGATTCATTTATTTGCTTGTGGCCTGCTCCCAGTTCCATTCAAAGAGGGCAGTAAATGTGTCCTTGCTATCACAGATGGCTATACTAGGTTAGTAACTATATATTGTATAAAAATAAAAATAAATTCATTCAGTAACTTTAAAAACTAGCTTAAGCAAATGGAAAAACTGACAAATAGAAAATTAGTATATGCACCAATAGTGGTGGTGAATTCTGCAACAGGCAATTCAAAAGGTACCTACCCCAAAATGGAATTAGTGTTGAACATGCAAATGCATACAACTCAGAAGAAAATGATGCATGTGAATGTTTTAACTGAACAGCATTAGATGCAGTTAAAGCTATGCTCAATGATAGTAAAAATGGATAAAGAATGGCGAGCAGAAGCTCTTGGATGTTTCGTACATACATGGAACAAGGTATCTCATAAGAATAACTGAACCCCTACTGAAAAGTTTCACAATAGAAAACACAGTGTTATTTATTTCAGTGTTTGGATATAAAGCATATGTTGGTGCACCAAAACATATTAAAGACAAATTACAAATGAAATGCACAGAAGGAATCATGATAGAATATGGAAAGGAAACTAGGTACAGTAGAAGTCCAGAAATTCACAAAGCTTGGGACCAGAAGTTGTGTGGATTTTAGGATTTTGCAGATTTCAAGACAGAAAAGATAAATCATAATATTCAGACTCAGTGCAAAATAAATAAGGTGTATTAAATACATTTAATTAAATTATTATATACATTACTGCAATAATTTATTATATGCATTAAATTATTATTACATATATAAACTGATTATATTATTCATTGTATTTGCATCCAGGTTTGCTGATTTCGCCTCGTGCAAACATTTCCGGTTTCGGATTCTGGTGTTAGAATCACTGTTGCTATAAAATTTCAACAAATTTTCTTCATTTTTCCGTATATCATACACAATTGTACCGCAATTCCATACGATTCTGCTATAAACCGAAGAGTGGAACCTGCCTCCATCTTTTGCAGAATTTGCACTTTTTGCATTACCGTCAATGCAACATCTTTACGTTTTTCAACATTGCAAGCAGTAAAATCATGAGTGCATTTCTTATCTGTCATTGTATTAAAAAGGGCTGAAATTTAATATATTCTTAATTTATCCACAAAATATCCAGATAAAAAAAAAGCAGCACTAAATAATCTCATGAAGTAACAAAGCTCAGAAAATACAACAACGTGAATCATGAACTTGAAAGAAGAGTTGAGTGAATCGTCCGCTTTTTTACCTCGCTGCAGATTAGAGGGAAAAAATCTTTTATCATGATGTCAATAATTTGGTATTTCCGTTATGAATCATTATTATTCGGTAATTATGCCGTCATAATTAAGTATTTTTTCTTCGATATTTCGTACTCAATGTTTCGGTTTCCGGAACCCATAAACTGAATGTTTATATTTTGATACGCAATGTGGATTTCAGGTCGGCGGATTTTCGGTATTTGACTGTATTTACTTTCATGCCTCTTGTAAATAATTTACATCTATTCATTGCTCTGTGTTGGCACTATGCTTTTGCATTGTTGTCCTTGGAATATGGTCACTAGAATACAGCTGACCTCTAACTGTTTCAATACTTATTTTTAATTGAACTATGTTATCGGATTATTATTAAGGTTTTATGTATGGATATTTAATTATTATATGATTATAATTTTGTGTATGAAATGGGAATAGTTGAATTATTAAAGAGATATTAAAAGCAAAATGATCATTCATATTTTGGAGCCATTTGATTAACAAGGGGTATATAGAATATGGCTACCAGAAGAGTAGAGATTAATAGCAATTTGTAATCTGAAATTTGACAAAAGAATGAATGCAGCAGATAGCATCCTGGGCCAGAATCCCAAAACTCAGTTTAAAGGATCAGACATGTTATCAGAATTGGATGGAGAACAGGAAGTTCCTAGAGAATGATTAAGACATTAGAAGACAAATCCATATGTACAAAAGTTTCGGACTTAACATGGCAAAGAAAAGCAGTTAATAGGCCAGATGAAACACATACAGACATATATTACTGTGTGAAAAAACAGGCACATGTTTTATATCCCATAACAACACTGAAAAATACTGTGAGGTTAGAAACATTAAACTTGAGAAAGATATGTTTGACTTTAGTGGCAAAAACGAATACTCTAGAAAATTTAATTTTTTAGTAAAGGTGGGTAGTTCAAAATCTGAAGAGGCAATTTCTGTAGAAGTTATTATCCTACAAAATTTTAAAGAAGCATGAATATCTGCAAATACCGCAGAATGGGATAAGGCAATGAGGGAAGAAATTCACACAAAGAAAAGGAAAGTTTGGGAATTAGTTGAGTTGCCAGAGAGGAAAAATGTACTCAGAAACAAATAGATTTATACGCTAAAAAGAAATGAAAAGAATGAAGTGGTTAAATATAAAGCCTGTCCAGTTGCACAAGAGATTCAAGCAAAGGGAAAGATTTTGATGACATTTAGAGTCCTGTAGTTGATTTTTCAATCATAAGAATATTTTTCATAGTACTAGCATGTTTATATGAATGGACTAACTCCCAATTAGACATGAAAAATGCATATTTGTATGCAAAGTTAAATGAAAAATATATTATGATCTAGCCAGAAGGGTTTATTCCAGAGAAAAGTAAAGTGTGTTTATTACACAAGGCAATTTATGGCTTGCATCAAAGTGGCCGTGAATGGTTTTGTGAATTTAAAATACTTTAGAAAATCTAAATTGTAAGAAAACACTATGGTATAATTTTGTTTATAAGAGCCCTAACATAATTCTCTTATTATATGTAGATGATACAGTACCTTTTAGTAGAGATCAACATTGTGTAATCTTGCAGTAAGTAATCTCATAGTTATTATTATTATTATTATTATTATTATTATTAATCTTGATGTATTAACTGAATTCTTAGAAAACAGCAGTAGAACTTTTATACATCATCAAACATACACTGAAAATTTTTTTCAAAAATCTAAATACTTCCATAAACTAGTTTTTCTTCTCCTTCACTTCTACACCAACAAAGGAAACCATGTTCAACGTTCCACTACAAACAAATACTTATCTTTAGATACAGCCATTGCCGTGCTGGCATAGAGAGGCGGCATAAGCAACGAAATCAAAATATTTAAGGGACAGAATTTCGAAGACTTGTATTATACTGAGAAAATCTGCTGTATGGCTGTGTCTTCAGAACTCACTTATTGTACACAAGGTTATGTAAGATAGAAAAATACTGTTTCCTACACACACACAATTCCAGAAGCAAAAATAAAGATATAATTTGTTCACCAATAGCTGTTTAAAGCTGAAGCAACATGCAAGATGATTCTATATTATCATGGCTAATTGATAATATAGAATGGGGGAAGGGCAGACTCAGCTAAGAATAAAAATTGATTTACGGCACACTTGCTTTTGCTTGAGTATAATAATATCCATTCCTGCACTTAGTGAGAAAAAGGGGAAAAAAATCTGAAAGTCTTGAGATTTTATAAATTATGCCCAAAGGGGCTTCTTTGTTTTACATTTTGTGTGTTACCTTTGTTTATTAAATATCATGTTCTTTGCACTTAAACCATAAAAATTAATTCAACAGCAATATTACAAAATACTTTAAAGAGAATATCTTTATAATTTCCAATACACAATACGTGTGTTGGAGGTCAATCCCCCCCCCACAGTGCTGCCATTGCTCGCTTTGAAATTGTTGAGTTTGCTAATAAAAAATTCATTAAAGCTTTACAAAATATGAAATAGATAATAAAACAAATTCCAAATTAGGGCTTCCAGATGCTCATATTCGGGTGGAAGATTATGTTTTTTCAAAATTTGATGGCTCTAGATACCATTGTTTTATCACAATGCGAGAAACATACAAACATTTATGCAGATTCTTCATTATTTAATTTCTTTAAATATAATGAAGGGCACTAACATTCGACGGCAACAATTTGAAAAGTGCTACGCCGTTTATGTTATAGTGAAACACCACAAAATTAGTAGCTCTTCTGGGCAAATTGTCCCTTTGTGCTTAAAAAAAAAGTTTTATAGGAAGTTAAGATAATGGATCATTTCAGTTATTGGGCATATGAATTTCAGAATTTGTACAGTGCAGTGTTCTTATAATGAACATATATGTAACTTGTTTTATTTATAAGCATTTTCATCAAAATCTACCAATTGTTTAGACACTTTTTCTGCAAATATATAAAAACAGACATGTACATTCTTATTCTAGAAAATACAGTAAAACTTTATCCATTCAAATGTTCACTTCTCCTCAACTGTGCTTTGCTTTGCTTTGTTCCTTTAATCTCTTGATTATGGCAATTATTAACTTATCTGCTATAAATGGATATCAATGTAAGAAAGAATAAGGTTTATACTTAAATAATGCTTCAGGTGAATATAAATCATACAGTTCTATACATGTATATCAACTGACACATCAAAGTTTATAGACGAAAGATGACAGTTCAAATATTTTTAAAAGCCATTCATAAGATTTCCCTGTACTCTCTGATTGGCTTCAACATAAGATTTTATGTCTGTTTGTTTTCTGTGGTAAATAAATAATTAATAAAAAATTTTTCTGCTTGTTTTCTGTGGGATACTATAGTCCAAGTTCAAAATTTTTACGAAATATAAACAGAATGACTTGGATGCAACCTCAACAAAAATAATTTTAAACTAAGAAAGGCACTGGAACTACAAAAGCAAATTAAAAATGAGTCAAAATAAAAGTTTCCCTTTATTATTTTTTCTAATTACTTTTAAATAACAAAAATCAGTTAATTTTCTGATCAAATTATATAAATTAACTCCTTACTTCTGATGAAATCTTGAGGTCTTGTAAATCTGTAGTTGATAGCACTTGTACTTCTTCTAGATAAGTGTCTGGAACAACAGGGTATATTACAGATGTTTCTGCCACTTCTACCACAGTATCTTCTAACATTGCTAAAAAGGAGAAGGATTGGAGAAAAGCTTACTAAATAGTTCTACTATTTGACACCATTAAAGATATTTATGACATAAATATGAAAATTCAAAGAGGAATCTCTTCATAAAATTAGAAATTCAAACAAAATAGAATGACAATATATTACAATGATCAGCATCGCTTCAATTTTCAAATATTTAATAAATTCTTAATATTAAAATACATTTTCTGAAAATCTTACTGTCCAAAAGTTTGCAAGATGCTTCTAGAGTAGCAATTTCAGAATCAACTTCATTCATCAGCCATGGCCAAAAGTCTTCTTCTACCTCTGTAATAGAGAATTCATCATCATATCATACTTGCCAATTTAAAATATTCACAAATCAAATTTTCTCAATGACAAAAATATATAGAAAGGAAGTATATTTTTACTGATGAATTAACTTTAATAGTAACTAATTAATATCTGAAAGTTCAGTTACTCATTCTTAAATGAAAATAGTACAAAAATACTTACATGTAAAGGAACATCATTATTTGTACCTTTTAACAGAATATACGAATAATAGCAGATTTTGTTTCATTAAGAAAGAAACTTCATAACTTTGATAACAGCAATTGCCACATAGGCCTGTTTTTGGTGATAACATTTTTATAATGTATCATTACTAATACGGGATGTAAATTTAGTCTTTGTTTAATAACACTGAAAATCTTCTCACAGTCTGTCACAACATCAGTTTGCTGCCACCATGTACTAATCAATTACCCAGAGGAATTACATTTTCTTTTAATGTTTTAATAATTAGCTGTGCTATATTAGAAATTGTTGAATCTTCTAAACTGGGGACAGAAAGTAAACTTCACTCAATTTCTGAAGCCTCTAGATTGCAGGTTGTGTCCAGTAAAAGGGCAGAGAATAGGTATTCTACATTAATAATTTTTTGGTCAATTTTTTCCCCAATATAGTTTATGTTGTATGTGCACATACACATATTCAAGAACATCAGCCATTACACCGTGAAAAATCGAAAAATTGCAATGACAAACAGTACACATAGCAAATATACTTCCTTGATGAAGTAACTGAAGGAAAGCCATCTGTGTACAATTTATAAAAAGTACATGAGTATTTTAGCTTTTTCATAGACATGAAACAAACAAAGAATCAGTTTGAAAAAACTAATAAATACAGTATTGAGTTTATAATCTACAGACTAAAAACAAAGCAATATACCTTTAATATCAGGATCTTCTGTTTCAAAATAGCCTTCAGCTTCCAGTTTCTTATATACTTGAGGTACTAGTTCTGTTAAGTAGTTCTGAGCAAAAATACAAGCAGCTATCTTTTGGGCTACTTCATCTTCCAGCTGAATAGCTTCTTCTTGCTCTTTTAATCTTCTTTGCTAAAATAAGTAATATTTTACATTACAGAGAGTTGTAGAAGGCACATATACACTTACACATGGGCAAAACATATAAATTAAAAAAAACAGTGCCATTTTTATTCAATTTATTTATTCTTATGTAGTGCCATTTCAGACTGTACCTCTTAAAAGCGGCTATCGTTTCATGACACAGTAAACACACTGCTTATTCCCTGTATTACCGAAGAAATATTTGTTTGTACATTCTTCATCAAACACATGACATTCATCACCAATTTTACACATTTTTGGATGATTCATGGTTTCACTACAGGTGGAAATTTATATACTTACTGCTGCAAAGGCAAAATTGAAAAAAGCCAGATCAACCTGAAAAGCACTGCATATCATATCTATATTGCGCATGCCTATTGGCGAGGCCGTCCTAGTGGAAACTACAATATGAATCTTCAGTCGTGCACGGGAAGGAAATCTCGGTTCAAGCCAGATTGTTCTTTCTTGGAAGAAACTTTAAACGGGCTGCATGTGGTCTACAGGCTGCTATTTGCCTACCCCAGACCTAAGACATCTATTTTTGGTGAGCACCAGTTCTGTTATTCTTACAACTTACAGCTATATAAAAATATGTTTTACTTTGAATTATAAATACATTTAACTCATATAGAGCAAAAACTATGCTGTTTGCCTAGACCGCTAAAAATGTTGGATCCTGACTTGTATTTATATAATAACATAAAACTAGATATGGGTTTATTGAGAAATTTATTAATTCTGAATTATACAATTATAGACAAAAATATCATTGCTCAGGATTTGGTAGTTTTTCAAAAATTGGAAAAAAGTAGTATGCTTTGATAAATTATATGAGACATATATTCTTACATAACTTGATTAACATATATGACAGGTAGATTTTCATACATGTTAATCATACAAACAGAACAACAAAAAAGACATGGTTTATATCTTGAAATTCTACAGAATATCTATTTAAGTTTTGTTTAAAGATTTCAGAAAAAAGAACATACAAATTTGGTATTTAAAAGACAGAATAGTACATTAAAAAAGCACTTATTTTTTAAATCATGATATTTCAATTAAAAACTATAATTTCCGCCCTTTCTTCTCTATTTTCTTCTTTTGCAAACATAAAGAAAAACAACATACATGTTTGGAATACAAACTGCTATAGATCCCACCTTTTTTTAAATATCTAAGACTTCTTCTTTATATATATATATATATAATAAATAAAGCCACTCAGATTGTATAGTGGTCAGGGGAGACTACTGCAATACCGAACGGCCCGAGTTCGAATCCTGAAGGATGGGACCCTTGAACCTTCCCCCCCCCAGGTGCTCTTCCTCAAAACTAGGGTAAAAATAGAAGTCCAACCTCCTTGACTCTGGCAAGACTCTTCCATAAAATCCATGAACAAGACAAAAAATAAATAAAATTTTAAAACTGTAATAAAAATGAAGTAAAAACTTAACAAATTAATTAATCATTAAACATAGTTTCAACATAAAAGTATTTTTAATACCCTTTCTTCAAAAAGCCTTCGCTCTTGCTCTTCAAGTCGTTTCATTTCAGCTAATTCAGCATTTCTTCTAGCCTCAAAATCCATTTGCATATCTGCCAAAATAGCAAGCTCCTCTTCAGCCATTAATTCGATCACAGCTTGCTCTAATGTTTGTCCAACTAAAGCTTCAAGTAAAGGCTCCACTTCAACATCAAAATCAAACAACTATAAATAAAAGACAATTTAGTTTGCATAAAAAATTTCTCTTTTATCTCTATAAATAATATATTTTGTTTATCCTGAAATTCTTATTATATAAGTGTAATTTACTATTATTATGTATGCTTTCCTAATTAATAAAAAAAATTCTGTCACAGTTATTAATAAATATGACTAATGTTTTTTAATAAAACATGCTAATTTTGTCTTCTATCTTTAAGGATAGATACTTAGACCCATTTTTTAATAATTTATTATAATTACATTCCATCTCTGTGCTTTCTAAACAAAACACATATATAATAAAAAAGAAATTAAAACACCTAAAAACATTTGCAAGTGAATGAGAAGTAAATCATATGTAGATACATGATAATCATATGCTGAAACATGTGTATAAATTTTCTTTTTTTTGCAAACATTTTTATTAGCATTGATAATAATTAATTTCATTCATTTTCTATAGCAAATTCTTCACAATGTTTTAAACCTAGAAGACAGATATTTTGAGAGTAAAACGAAAATATAGTGCCCTGCTTATTAATGTCACTGGTCAATAAACTCTGCCGCTTATTGCATTCAAATATGCAGGAATTAAACACAATACCGGCACTTATTAAAATCGCCTCTGTTTCAAGTATATTTGAATTTATTAAGCGGTTTTAGTTTTTGATAAATGGCAGTTTCAGTACTGCAAATTATGGCATCAACTTTGAACTTACTTAGTAAGATAATCTAATAATTAATACATTAAAAATTTATGCTAAAATTAAACAACTTGCAAAACTTGGAAATTTATTTTTTATTAATTTTTTAGGAAAAATTTTATAATTACATACTTGATGAAATTTTAAACTTTTACAAAGAACTGCTTTATTAGTATTTGTTTCACATTGTTTGTCAACAGTCTTTCAATTATTTTGGTTTCTGGAAGTTTCAACACAATAAGTGGCTGAGTTTATTAACCAGTGAGTTTAATAAGCATGGGCACTGTATATACCAATCAAAAGAAACACTGTCACTTAAAAAATTCAAGCTGGCAAAAGTCTGATTATCCAGATCCAGAATAAACTGCTTGTGGCTGATAAAAGCTGTTTGTAGTTCATTCATTTATCTTTCAATTCATTCTGCTTCCATAAAAAGGGTTTAGCAAAAATTTTGGGCAGTGTAGTTATAACCTGGGATGTTGACTACACTTCCCTAGTTCCTGTCAGACACTGTCAGACTAAATTGCTTTGTCCAGACTAGAGCTGGAAGCACCAAAATACCTTTATACCAGTCCTCTAGAGGCACTGGAAACAATTTCTTTGATTATAAATGAATGAGTGTTTCCCATGATTAAAGAACAGGTGGTGCTTAAGCGAACACTGGTTTCCTTTCTCGAACACTAGCTGACAGGGGATGGATGTGCATATACATATAAAGTTTGCAAAGTGTTCTCAGAAAATATCATAAAATGATTCCTTGCATTATCATTTAAGTCTTTGATTGGGAAAGGGCAGTGGCCATTGCAGGATGACGAAAAAGAAGAAAGCATTGATCATACATACAATAACCATAAAATGACAGGTTGACTTCAGCGACAAAAATACAATCTTCCTGCTGGCAAGAAACAGGAATTTTAATTTGGAATTAACTGGAAAAAACTTTTTTTTTTTTTTTATTTGTTGTGTGCGTGACTTGTAACATGTTGCAGATGCCTAAACAAAATAATTTAAACTTGAAAGAAAAAAAGGATACATTGCTGAAAGATTATGATACATTTGGTGAATGCAGCCAAAAGGGAAGAGCTTTTAAACTGGAGATTTTCTAAACAGCATTGTGCAATTTACTTCAACAAATAAAACTGATAAAGAACTATTACAAAATGCAAATGTCTCAAAGTGCAAAAGGGATGAAAAACTGGAAGACTTTAAAACTGTTTTTCCAGAATTGTTTCGAGCTATGAGACTAAAATAATTTTTAATTTTTTAAGCTCTTTTGATCACAAAAGTTGTAGAATTCACTAAAATACCAGGAGAAAATATTGTACGAACTAATGGATGGCTCACAAGATAGAAAGAGAAAAAAAACATTATTTATTAAAAGCTAAGTGATGAGAATCAAGGGGCAGATCATTATGCTGATGAGAAATGGACAAAAGACTTAAACTTCCAAAAGAATAAAAGCCACATAAAATTTATAACACAGATGAAACTGATTTGTTTTACACAGCATTAGCAGAGCATATATTATGGTTTAAATGTGAAACAGCAGTTGGTTTTAAGATATTAAAATAACATGTTACTGTGATATTAATGTGCAATATCTGGATGCAACAATTAAAAGACGCCAATAGTTATTGGAAAGGATAAAAAAAACTATGTTTAAAAGGAGTCAAGAACTTACCTTTAACCAAGGTTCTTACATATTTCTGCACATGAAAATTAAGTACTTTTAAGGACCATTAATGAAAAAAAATTAAGGGCCTACTAGCAAATGGGAACTGAATAATTTCAATTAAAATTAATATCTATGCCTGAACTTCAGTTTTGTAATACCACCCTAAAAATAAAATAGATCCGTAAGTAGGATATATTATTATTAAGCATGAATTAATTAACATAATTATTAATAAGTTTAAGAATAAAATAAACTTTATGAAATTTATCAAGTAGCATTAAATATTTTACAGTTATAATAGTGGGATATATTTGAAAGAAAGAACATTTTATTTACGTTTTACTAACAGTTAGCTTTATTTCGATTTTTTTATGTCTCACTTTGTCACATACTTGCTCAGTCCAGAGGTTTAGTAAATAGCAGGTAGATTTTTTGTCAAGCGCCATAGGTTAAAATGAGAAGTAAGATCATTATCGGCATGATCCATAACAAAACACTGGGTGTTGTCATTGCTGCTGCTTGCTTAGAGAGAGACCTGTTGATTAGAACAAATCTGAAAGGCCTGATATAGGCATAGTTGTCAAGTTTTGAAAGTTAATTGGGCTCTTCCTAATGCAGTTAATGTCCTAGCTTCGTGCAGAGTTCCAGGGATTGTAACCCAGTTAATATACTTTAAGGTTCCAATACGCCACTAAAGCACCAGAGGTGATAAGTTGTGTTTTGTATTATTTTAAGTCTCACTAAGATGCAAAGAATAAGTTTTACATGAATTTTTACATTTTTGTGTTTTATCTTGTGACCACACTAAGGATTAATGAAAGACAATAACTGCCTTTAATATGCAGAGATAATTTTTAAGACTAAGCAGTTAGTTATAAATAATTAAATTAGGTAGTTAGATAACCTTAGTCATTATGGATTTACATGGCCACTATTAAATTTTATTTATTTTTAACAATATTTGTTAAAAAGCCCTATTAAAATCACAATGTAAAATTTCACAGTTTAAAATACATGTAATTTATGACATTGATTCTTAAACGATATTAGGATAATTACACATTAAAAGCTACAGAACATTTATACTTTGTAATAAGAACACTAAACAAAATATTTATGTGTCTTTTCAATTTGAAGCCTTCCCAGACATTTTGGGCTAATTTATATTGATTTCCTTCTCTTAAAGCATCTTTTCTAACTATCAGAAATTTTTCTCAATACGTAAATCGATATTCTCACTAGTTTCTGGGTGCTTTATTTCCTAACTTGTACCTAAATGTACCTGTTAAGTTAGAATACAGCACTATAATAGAAGTTAGAATCAATGCTTCACATGATTGTGTTCTTATAGGAAATTATGCTGTACATTAAAATGGAACTGTTTTAAAGAATAAGTTCGGTTGTGGCAAAGTGAAGTCTATGTTCTTTATAATGTTTATATTATTTTATATTATACTCATGATGAAAGATTATCTATTAGCTTTCCTATTTGTACTGTAGAATTAGTGTTTCTTGAATTCTTAAAATGTATGTATGTTTGTAATTTACATATTGAAATTTGGAATTTCAACGGGCGGCAGCATGTTAAGTTCACTTTCAAATAAGTTCGATTGTGGCATAGTGAAGTCTATGTTCTTTATAATGTTTATATTATACTCATGATGAAAGATTATCTATTAGCATTCATATTTATACTGTAGAATTAGTGTTTCGTGAATTCTTAAAATGTATGTATGTTTGTACTTTACATATTGAAATTTGGAACTTCAACGGGCGGCAGCATGTTAAGTTAGAACACAGCACCACCTACTGGATATGGAGAGAAACTCTCACTTCCAAATAGTCGAGTTGGTTAATCAAAAATTTGTTAAAATTTTACAACATATGAAATCGATAATAAAACAAATTCAAAATTTGGGCTTTCAGATGCCCACATTCGCAGTAGGATCACGTCATTCAAAATTGGATGGCTCTAGGTACTGCTGTTTTATCACAATGTGAGAAACATACATACATTTATAGATTCTTCCATTATTTAATTTCTTCAAATATAATACAGGGCGATAGTATTTGGTGGCAATGATTTGAAAAGTGATACAGCCTTTTAAAGTTTTCAAAGCAAAATGAAAACAACAACAGACCTTCAGGGACAAAGTCCCTTTGGACTAAATAAGTTATTTTTATAAAGAAATAATAAATAAATTATTTTTATAAAGAAAATTGATGCATATTCTGAGAATTCTAAATATTCTGAGACAATTACATGGGAAAAACTCTTTTTATGAAAAATTAAAAAAGAAGACATTTTTAATTATTACATAGCTAATTTTGCTTCTGTTGAAAACTGTTTCAAAAATTGTGCTTTATAGCATTATACCTTGTTTATTTTTCAAATTCAAAATGTCATATAGTAATTTGCCAAAATGGAACTTTATATTATGACAGCAAAAAATAAAAATATTTTATTTTAACGTTATTTTTTAGACATAATTTCATAATATTACCATTTTTAATTAAATTTATCAGTATTACAATGTTTTGAAAAAATCATTGAAAAATTTCCAGATCTCAGAATTAAAACTTTTGTGTAAAAAGTGATCTTCAAATTGCCAAAATGTTGATAAGTCACCAAATTTAAAACTGTTTAATAAAATAATTCACATTCCCAAAAGTGAAAAGTTGTTTAAGAGCTCTTCATCAGAAAAAAATTAATTTTGAAATGCTTATGTTTCACTTCTTGCTTAAAAATTCGAGTATCCCACCATTTATATTAGAGATAAGAACAAATTATAACCCATGAACCCATTCAAAAGATAGCCATATATGTCAATGAATCGCCAAAAATATTCCACCAAAGTGCTAATTCACACTCAAAATGGCAGTCGTAAAAACAGACAGAAATTTCAGATAATAAAAATTAAGGACCTTCTGCCTTAATTTTATCTGAAGTTAACTAGATTTTTCCAAATGTTTGTAATTAAATCTCTTCTCCGCAACCTTAAAAAGTTCATTTATGCACTGATCATAGTGCCTGTATGTTCACTGAAGAGTTCCTTGGGAAATTTGTGCAACACTTTCTGCCATTTAGCTTGAATATCTTCTAATATGAATGTCTTGTGTAGTAGCAAAAAATGATTTGTAGCCATAAAATCTGAAATCAAATAGAAGATATTAGACTGAAAGAACTGATATTTCCAAGAATGAAAGTGACCAAAAAAAAAAAAAAAAACCTAGATATGTATAAAAGGCAATTCTGATAACTCTTTTGACAGGAAACTGATTGTGAACTGACATTCGACTTTCAAATCAGATAGCGAATGAGGTGCTCACTGAAATACAATAATATAGTTAAAACAGGAATTTATCTCACTCGTGCAAGGCATAGTCTTGGTTGCACAACCATATTAGATCAACCATAAAAAAAAAGGCACTAAGACACAGTATCACACAGTGCTGTATTATTGAAAAATATACTTGGAAAATAATACCGTAATCCCTATGCTAGCCTTGTAATTCTATCCCTCAAACAAGGGAATAATCTTTCTTTCACCAATTTTAAAACCTGTCAATTCCATACCAACTACAGGAAATTAAATAACACACTCGTGTGCAAAATTAAAATAATTTGCAAGTTATGTCTACTTTGATGAAAAGATTGAATCAAATGTACTAATTATGCTACCTAAGAATCGTGCAAATATTCAGAGTTAATTACATAAGTTTATACCTGCATGTCTGTGGAGCTTTGATTGCGGAGGGTATATAAGTGCATAAGAGATTTTCAGCAATTTGTGTGCTCATACTCCTCCACATTTGCCATGTTTCTTGCAAGTGTTGGGAAAATTTTATAAGGTATCAGGTAAAATAAGGAGCCACAAATGTATGGGTGACAGAATAAGATGCAGAATTGTCAGTAGATTGGAGACAGGCCAATCACAAGTGTGGGTGGCTACAGAGTTCAGTGTAACACCCAGTGTTGTTACAAGAAGAATATGTAGAAACAGTTTTTCAAGACATTGGATCCATATCAAGAAGACCTGATTACCAAGATCCACAACAATGAATGAGAATCATTATTCGGCACTTTAGTATGACAACAAAGTACTGCTACAGTTTCACAGTTCTCACATGATATGCTACCACTGGAACCCAAGTTAAATCTACAATTGCCCAAAGGCTTCATGAGATAGGGTAGTATGATAAGGTACTTCATGAGTATGCCAGTAGAATCACTGTTTGCATTCCGCTCACTGCAGCCCAGAAGAGAACACAAACATTTAGCATGGTGCAGATAACCTGCATCTTGAATCAGAATTCAATGGAACACCATGCTTTTTACATACGAGTCGAGATTCCGCCTGGACACTGATTCTTGGTGTACCTTGTATTTAAGAGAGTCTGGAACATGATACCATCACTCCCTCCTCAGGGAAAGGATCATTATGGTGAGGAAAGTGTAATGGTTTCGGCAGGCATTAAGTTGAATGGCTGTACTACCCTTGTAATTCATTGAATGGCTGTACTACCCTGTATGTGTTTGACAAAGGCTCTCAGACTGCTATGAGATACAAACTGGAGATCTTACAGCCCTATGTTTGACTTTTCAGAGGCAGGGCTGTTCCTGGGTTTCTTTTAATGGAGGACAGTGCTCGTTCACATAGAGCTCAGCTGGTCAATGATTAGCTGGAAAGTGAGGATATTCACCGCATGGAATGGGCAGCTAGATCTCTTGACCTTGACAGCAGTTTCATCTTGCTATCCCCCTCTGAGAACCATCCCTAAGTTGAAAACTGACTTGCTGTAAAAGTAGGATTGACTGTCACAGGGACTCCTAAACAGCCACCTGTCCAGTATGCCATCATGCTACATGATATGGCTTGCTGTGACAGGTGAGCATACACCATAATAAACTCATTTTTAGTCCGATATAACACAGCATAGATTTTGACATTGCCTGTACTATGACCTTCACTGATAATCATCAGCACATAAAATGACTTAATGATCATGAGCACATAAAACGACTTAATGATCATGAGCACATTAAATGATACATTTCTTTCACTGTTATAATTGTATATTTATAACAAATTTCATTAAAATCTGCAGCTTAGATTTTCAGGAATTTGACATAATGTGCAAATATGCTTAATTTTGAACACAAGTGTATGATAAAATATCCCCTTTACCCCTTACCAATAACTGAAGAAATAATTAGGAAAATAAGCCCACAAAATACATAACCACTCTAGATCTTATGTCTGTCCATACCCATATGTGTGGAACTTGAGAAAGTGCCAAAAATGTCATTTATTACTAAATCAGCTCATTTATTAGTAATCAGGAGCCAAATGGCATGCTTTTTAGAATGCCACTTGGCCTATGTGAAGTTCCTCCTACGTTTCAGGAGGCCGGTACAAAATCTCACAGAGATCTTTCAAACTCCTGCTCAACATATTCCATACTCCTATACATATTTATTTCCAAGCCTGAAATCTAAAACAATGGCTCATCATTTTTATTCTGTGAGGGATATTCAGATTGAAACACATAAAATGGTACACATAATTTCAAAGATGTATTTTAATCAGAGGAAATGTTATTAATGGCTTCTAGTGATACTGTAACAGCATTTTGTCAACTCATGTACTGAAGAAAGTTGCTGATTTAAACAATTGTCATAAGACCAAATTATGATGGTCAGGACAGAAACAAATCTCTTCAAAATGACCTCATTTATTAGATGTTCGTAAGCTGCTGCCATTAAGTGCTGATGATAATGGAGGAAGGGAAACTGATAGTGTATACTAACATTTTAGACATCCAAGCTTGACTAATGAATGCAGACATCATACACTGATTTTAGTACAGGCAAGGTTCATGACTGCTATTGTTCATCTGATAAATAAATGTAATACAGATCCAAGTACAAAGTGAATCAGAACATTTAATTCAACAGACTTTTCTTAATATAAGAAACCACAGCAAATGCCCTTCTTTGTGCTACTGTTATAATGCATCAACATCATCAGCGTTTATTACAACATTGCATCCATGAACAGTACGACTGAACCATACAACAATGGAAAAAGTTGCCTGATCAGATGAATCACGATTTCTTTTACATCATGTCAATAGCTATGTCTTGATTTGCTGTATTACCATGCTAACAGTTAATAAACTTATGTACTGAATATGTAAACAGATTCAGCGGTGAAGGTATTATGTCTTGCTGGATATTCTCATGGATGTCCTTGGGACCAGTAATTGTTGCAAAATACACCATAACATTTTTTTATATTATATGAACATCACTGCAGATCAGTTACACTCTTTCATAACGACTGTCATCCTCACCAGAAATAGACTCTTTCAGTAGGACAATGCTTCTTTCTACATGGTGGGATTGTGTTACAGTCATTTGAAGAACATACTGATAAACTGCAGTTAATGCCTGGCCTCTTAATTTGTCAGATTAATCTTACTGAGCCTACAGGATGCCATGGAATGCCAGTTTATTAACTGATTCCATGCAATCTTCAGAAATTATGTGATCTCTGCTTGCAAATCTGGTATAATCTTCCTCTGGACAATTTTCAAGAACATGCGGAGCCTATGCCATCACAAGTTATTTTACTTGTCAAAAGTACAATAATATGGTACAAAGGTGGTATAATATTTTGACTGATCAATATATACCTTCACACACTTCCACTGCATTCTATGTTCATTGTTTTGCATAAGAAATGGTAAATTTTTCTTAACATATGTATTTTAAAACTAGAATAAGGTCAGCACATTAAGATTTAATGTCTGGATGAACTGCAGAAATATCTTACAAATAGAAGATTTCTAATTTTGCTTATTTAAAAGGCCATCTTTTCGTCTTTCTTTTTTTTTAAAAAAAAAAATCTGTATTTTTCATATACCTTTATTTATTTATGGGAAATTAAAAATCATATTACATTAAAGACATGATTATGAATATGATTTTTATATTATCAATGCAAAGAAGGTAGACAATGAGTTTTATACTTACTTCACCAGGATAAATTTGTGTTGCAACATCAGGACCTGATTTGGCAGGAATAAAGAGGGGTGATGGAGGTCTATCCAATAGAGGATCAGTTTCACATTCTGCATCAGTTTCTTCTATCACATCACACAATTCTTCTAAATACAGATCAGTCTGGATTGACAAATGCTGCCGCCCAGGAACTGGCAAACACCCATTATCCTCAATAACTGCACTTCTCCTTCTTCCCTGGAAATATAAATGTTTACATTGTAAAATATATGTACCTTCAAAAGAATTAATATATCATTTATATATTCAGCAGTTTTTCTTCATGAGACACAATCAAAATTCATCTGTAATATCTTGAACATTAATTTAGCTATATTTCATTCCTTCTGTATATTGCATCAGTAAAATTTAAAATAAATGGTATTTTTATTAATCACACCTGTTCATATGTTTTGCTAAATATAAAAAATCTGATGTGTACACCACATGACTTCCTTGTATAGAATATTAAATAACATTCATTATTTCTTTCATTTCATTTAAACTTTATTGTATTGAATTAAATCTACTTCGTCGATAGCACATAACCACAATAGAATAAATGCACTCTTTAAAATTCACTATATTTGTTTACCATAGCGACACTCTGGCACTAGGTTCACTTAACAGCATTACATTTCATTCATATTATAACTCAATGCATATAAATTTATATCATTTGAAGAATTATCTATAATTGTTGCCACATATTCTATTCAAATACTATAATAAAAATAAAACAATGTATAAAAGAAATTAAGCAAACAAAACAAAAGAGAAACAGTTTTTCACAGACGATTCAGTATTTCTCATTCAATTAATTCAGTTCTCACTTCCCGACAAGGCAAAAATACGTAAAAACTCAAAATATCTATATTAAAAATCCCGAAGTAAATCTTAAACACTTATTTCCTCGAATAAATTCCAGAATGGATTAAACATGATTTAATTTGCAATAATAGAAGAAGGCATTATCTTTGTTGTTGCGAAGCTTAGTTTCTCTAGATTGGCAACAAATCCGCTATTTTGCCAAGTTTGAAATGTAAACAAACATGTCCGCCATTGCAAAAATGTTAGGCTTAGCTGCACTTAAACAACTTTTAAATTGTTGATAACTCCACAAATATTGCATGCAGATTTACTAAAGGCATAAAAATCCTAACTGGAAGATAAGAACAACATAATTCAATCATTTTTAAAGCAAAAAATGCACAACTTACAAACATATAAGTGTTAAAAAACTGAGATCAGTGAGCCAGTTAACAGAGTGGATATAGATATACATATTTGTTTGGTGAAGCTGATTGCAATCAAAATATGAGGTGCACATCTACATGTTATAGCAGTCCTATATACAAAATTTTAATGTTCTGAGGCTACTCATTTTTGAGTTATATGAGATACATATGTACGTACAGACACCACGAAAAATTCTCATTAGAATTCATTTTAAATCAGTTTTATAATTTTTTGGGTAGAAAAGAGTCTTTTATTCTGCCCTGACGTACAGATGTCCTGCAAAAACATCGTTAAATTGCGTTCGATACCAGTCAAAATGGATATTTTCGTTGAAATATGATGCCCGAAAATTTTCGCGATTACAATACTTCCTTTTTACTTCGTACAAGGAAGTAAAAATAAGAAGTGTTATTCTAAATTAAAAATCAACCCAATTTCCAAACACTGGAAAATATTTTATATTAATCTGAGTATTAAAGGAAACTGAGATATTTAGCTCAATATCTCATATTTTATATATAAATATAAAATGTGAATTATACTAATCTTATTATACTAAAGCTAACTAACTCATAATTTCCTACTAAAGATTTTTTTAAAGTTTATTACGACTGCATGAATAACTGCTATATTTTTCTCAGAAGGACATTTCACTGCTTTGAAACATCACTAACTGCCTTATTCAGAGAATATAAAACATTGAAATAAATTTTTAAAAGTTTTAATAAATCATACTGCTTCTATGTTGCATGATAAAATGATACAATAAAGATGATTACTTTTGTATTTTTTACTTAACTCTTTAGAAACAGCTGAAATTTAAATCCACTGGATGAGAAATGACTAAAATATTACTTATGCATTAACGGAACATTTCATTTCTGAATAACAAATAGCACTCTTTCTCCATTCAGCAAGATGTAATGTGTTCTGATATGTTCAGCAATGGAACTGAAGTAAATTTTATGCTTCCTTTAATTAAAAAAAAAAAAAAGTCAATGCCAAAAAGAATAATTTAACAGTTGCTATGCTTTCCAACCACCTTTTATCCTCAATGTTCACTTGGATAAAATTTCTTGGTTGTTTGCAGAGCAAGAAAAAATTATCTCAGTACTAGCAGCTACACTGCCAGCCTTCGTCTGGCTTTTAAATGTACCGGAAAAATGCCTGAAGGGAATACCAAACGTTAAATTTTAAAAACTGCACAGAATTTTCCTCTGCAGAACAACTTCATAAAAAAATGTATTACATATAACAAAATTACGATGAAATAAGCAACATCCTTTAACCCATTAGCCGCTGGTGTTGCATTGACGCAACGGTCAAATTAAATGCGTATATAAATATTACTACCTAAGATATTTTATACCAGCAAATGATTTTGTGTAGGGAATATTATGAAGATTATTTCTGTAAAAAAATATTTGCCTTCAATCATTTTGTTTATAATAATTAATCTCATACTTTAAGCAAAATTTTCGACCGGGTATTTTTCCTGAAAATATTTAACGAAAGAATCGCAGTCTTTATGAGTGATCTATTTTTAGTCAAGGTCACCGTTTATCAGAACATTACATCAGTCAGATGTTTATATTTGTGTTGGGAAGGAAGGGAAAACAGGTGTTGCGTTGACATAACGTCAGCAGGAAACGGGGAGTCAATCTCCTTTTTCACTCATTCCTTTCGATGTTCTGGTTGTTTAAAAATGCCTATAATGTGGTATCTTGCATTAGAAGAAATCCTTCAAAGATTTTTTGATGAAGAAACAGATGATGATAATGTTAATAATGACCAGAATGAAACTGATATTGTTGTCGTTCCACCAGAAATTGCAGAGTCTAATGACGAAGAAGAAAGGAATGGCAATGTTTTAAATAATGATAATGATACAAGACAGAACACAAGGTAAAACTAGTGCACAGATTTTCGATTTTCTTTTTGGTTTAAAAATGCCTATAATGTGGTATCTTGCATTAGAAGAAGTCCTTCAAAGATTTTTTGATGAAGAAACAGATGATGATAATGTTAATAATGACCAGAAAATGATAATGATAGACCAGATGATGATAATGTTAATGATGATAATGTTAACAATGAAAAGCGAGTGTTGCGCGAACGCAACACTCACTTTTTTCACAGGTAAGAGCATTTTTTTTTTATTTTCAATGTAAATTTATGTTCTAAATGCTTAATTTAATATTTGTTATTATTTTCATGAGAAAAGAAACATTCTTTGTAGTTTTGGCGGTTAATGGGTTAAACCAAATATTAATTATCCTAATAAATAAATTAATCAAATTCTCTTTGCGCTCTCTCAACAAACATTTAGTATCCAAGAGAAACATTAAATTTAAAACTGCACAGACTTATCGCCCTCATTTTTCCAAGTGGCAACAGTTCTGATTTTCAACAGTCAGCAGTCCAGTATACCAGTGCTCCGCAACCTTTTCTCACCTGCGATGCACAAAAGATCTTTCTGGAATTTCGTGGCATACTAGAGATCCGAGTTATCAAGGAAGTGCTGAAAAAATTCAAATGCTGACACACTTACAATCACACACGCAACCACACAATAGTGAAATATATAAAAACATTTAAAATAGACATTATTAAGGAAAAAAAATTGTCGTGTATTAAATACATGATAAAAAATTGCAAAGTGTCAAATACATGTATTTGATTGCGGCACACCTATATCCTACTCATGGCACACCGGTTGCGGAGCACTGCAGTATACAATTGAATATAAAACTGTTGCCAAAACCACATTACTATAAGAATGAAACTATTCAAAATGATGCGATAAAACTGAAAATATAAAGTAAAAAAAAAAAATTGGATTCGAATTTTGAAAAAAAATAAAAAATTGCTCGTCTAGATGCACCTATATACCAAATTTTGTAGCCCTGGGTCTATTAGCTTACATGCAGTATGAACAAAAGGCACACATACTTTTTCTTTTATTATATGTAGAGATTTAACATTTAAGAAGTATTTTAAAAGTTAAGAAAATTTTCAAGATTTCTTTAAAAGCATTCTCCCAATTTTATTGTTTGGTATGCTGGCATTTTTAATTACAATAAAATTTCAAGTTTCAAATTCCTAATTATAATTTTGATAGTAAAATAAGTTTCAAATAAATTAAAGTATTTTTATCTTAATCATAATAAATATATGATAACTATATTCCTTAATACAAATATTAATTATCCTAATAAAAAAATTTACCAACTTCCCATTGAAGAAAAGAAAATCATGCAAAACTTTTCAATATCTTACAGACAGTGAAATAAGCAAAAAATAACATGAAAGAAACTCAAAAAACAAAAAATTCCGCGCAGAATTTTACTCTACAGAACAACTTTATCAAAAAAAAAAAAAAAAAAACAATGAAAATGTATTATGTATATAAAAAATGACAATGAAATATGCCAATCTCTTAAAAACAGTGGCATAAGAAATATGATGAAAAATTGTTGCCAAACCCATATTTCTAAAAGAATGAAACTATTCAAAATGATGCGATTTCATCAAAAATCTATCAACAACAATAAGAAAGGAAAATTGTTGCCAAAATCACATTTTTAAACATGTGAGATGTGAGAAGTGTACTCGGAAGCTTCATTTAAAAATTTTTTAAAAAATACAAAATATCATCATTTTTCCAAAATTCTTTTTGTAAAAGCAGTCACAAGGATGAGTTTAAAGTGTCCAAAAATCAAAGAAAAATAAACTGTACATTTTTAAAAATAAACATTTTTTAGAAAAATCTCATTGAAAAGGTGTTAAGCTCACTTTGTTAAATAAATTTGTATTTAATCGATTTATTGGAACACCAAATTTATTTTAAGTTCATAAAATAGCTAAGTGCCTACGTTTCATGACGATGTGCAAATGGAGTGTGTAGAGTAAAATCTCGCTTTCCTATAGCCCGTAATTCTCAAAATGATGCGATTTCG